AAATCAAGTATAAAAACAACATTTTAGCGCCAGGGCCATCCCGAAGAGGTCTCTCATTCGGGGTGTTATACATGTTTTTTGCTAATTGGCGACAACAACAAAAAAAAAGTTCCTTGATATTTGACATTTGTACTTGAAAAATTGCCGACTCAATTACTAAATGTGCTAACTCAAATGCACATATAACAGCTTTAAGGGGAGGGGGGAGCACGTATTTCCCTTCTCTCTATCCCCCTCCCCCTACCCAGAGTCCTGTTCTTTGAACACACTACATAGCATTACATACAAGCATTATTAATTTATCGATTCAATAGAAATTATAAGTTAAATAAAGACGAGGTAATTTAGTAGAATCCCAATTTTCAAAAGGATATGTTACTTAAAGGTGTTTTGAACGAGATTTTATTAAAAAGACTACTAAAACAATTTTTCATAAATTAAAAAAAAAAATTTCTGACGTTTAGTCTAATATTTGATGTAATTCAATCAAAATAAACATTTTGACTTACAAACATTTGAATGAATATTTACAAACATTCGAATGTTTTCATTTTTGAGTGTTAGTAATTGTAAACATTCGAATAAATGTCTACATTTACAAACACTCAAAGTTAAAATGCCTGTAATATTGAAATTTGTAAATAGATTTTAAATGAAATTGTTTATAAACACTCGAATGAGAGTACGTTTAGCTGTTGTTGTGAAGAAAATATTAAAAAAAAATACAAACAAAGTATCTGAAAAAAGATCTTACTGATTTTGTGGTCATAACCTTTTACAAGGAAATGTATATAATCAATGTAGAAAAATAAATGGTATAACATGATAATAAAAAATCCCTTGCATAAAAACAGACACGGAAAACAGAAAAAAAGTTAACTACGGAAATATAACACAAATTTCAAAAATATGATGGTTTCAAACTTAGAAGAGATTTTGTGAAAAGTTGATTAGGGTAGGGTGGGGTAATGTGGGTCTACGGGGTAATCTGGGTCTAATTCATATTTATCTTTTATATTGATAATGGCTTTAGATATAAAATTGTAATTTTTACCACTTTGTTATAACATATTAGGCTAAGTAATTAGTTTCATCAGACCTAACTTTTTTCGTGTTAATAATTCTTTAGAACTATTAAACACTTGTGTTTGAAGTTTATATCTTTGAAATTTATATTAAGAAACGCGTGTATTTATTTTTATGAAACAATATATTCACCTAAGTCAAATAAAATATTATATAAAACCTATTTGGTTTTAAATTTTTTTTTTGTGATATGTTATGGTTAATGCTAATTTATTTCTTTAAAAATTTAACAGATTTTTCATAAATATTACTTTTAAAAGTATTTAAAAAATGCCAGGATGTTACAATAAAAAAATAAAATCCAAGTACAATGCTGATAGTTTGGAAAAAGCAATTATGTTAGTATGTGAAGAAAAAAAGACTATTTATCATGCTGCTAAAGAATGTTCTGTTCCTAAAAAAACATTGAGGCAAAGAATAAAACAACAAGAATTTAATGCAAACAAACGTGAAGGTCAAAAAAGTGTGCTAAGTGATAATGATGAAACTATGACTGTAGCTGCAGCTCAGTATTGTCAAAGATATGGTCTTCCATTAGATTCTCTTGACATTTGTAATTTAGTTGCTCAATTTTGCACAGCCGTGAGGATGAAGACTCCTTTTAAAAATGGAATTCCTGGGAAAGATTGGATAATTTCTTTTAGGAAGCGTCATGTTGATAAACTTCGATTACGTAAACCTGAAATATTTACATTTTCAAGAGCTAAAAATTTAACACGTGAAGTTATAGATAATTTTTTTACTATTTTATCTGATGTAATCCATAATAATAACATAGTACCAAGTAGTATATACAACCTTGATGAGTGTTATATTCTTAAGAACTATTTGACGCCAATCACGTCAATCAAAATACTTGATAACAAATATCAAAAACGATCAACACCTATTATGATGCGCCACAAACTTCGCTCTTTTAAGCAACAAGAAGGGGAAACAGTCGAAAGCTCCATGAGTAGCCTGAAACAAATTGCAAGAAAATGTCCAACAGAACCTCTAACAGCAGAACAACATATTAATTTACTAATTTGCGACGCTTTTGTCGCTGGAATTTACTCACCTTCTATTCGACAACGACTCCTCGAAGCTACAGAAGACAATCTCAAGGCACTTTATAAAACAGCGCTAACAATGGAATTAGCCACCGAAGATGCTCTTAATTTGACAACAACCACAACAGCTAATACTACGATACCAACTTTTGCCGCAAGTCGTAACCTTACGAAATCTCTTTGTTACTGGTGTGGTAATGATCCACGTCCAAAAATTAAATGCCCAGCAAGAAATTCCATCTGTACACATTGTCAAAAAAGGGGCCACTGGGCAACTGTCTGCCTCTCAAAGAAACAAAATAAGACCTACACTAAAGCAGCAGTTGTTAAGGAATATCATGAAGAAAACGATAACGCAATAGTATCTACGGTCATAGCAGCAATCAACTCACCTGATAGACTAATTAACGTCACCATTAAAAAAAATAATATCACAGGCACTGATAGATACTGGCTCAGATAAAAAGTTTATTACATCAGAACTTCTTCAACATTGGAACCTTCCTTACGATAATCAATCTACCTCAAAAGTATCATTGGCAGATAATTCGACATTAAAAGTTAAAGGAATCTTCCAAGGCTCATTGTTATTAGCTTGCGAAAAATTGAAAGTGCAATTCCTCGTTGTAGACAACTTGGTAGTACCAGTAATTATCGGAATGGACGTGTTAACACAACATACCTCAATTACGATCAATTTTAAAGGGAATAAAGAGCCCTTAAAGTTCTGTCTGGCAACAAAGAGTATGAAGTGTACTACTTACGCATTGATACCTGGAGTGAACATTGACAAAATTAAGCTACAACATCACGACGGGTTCCTAAAAATAACTCCTTCATAACAGACGAGATAAACCGTATGTTAAAGCAAGATATAATTCAAGTGAGCCGTAGTCCTTGGCGTGCACAATGTTATGTAGTATCATCAGGAAACAAAAACCGTCTTGTGATTGATTATTCAAATACAATCAATCTACATATTCCACTCGATTCATACCTAACACCTCGAATCGACGATTTGATACTTAAGATAGCTGCTCATAAAGTCTTCAGTACAATTGACCTCAAATCGGCTTACCATCAGGTAAAAATACGACCTGAAGATTACAAGCTAACCGCATTCGAAGCAAATGGCAGACTATACAAGTTTAAACGTTTACCTTTTGGTTGCACAAATGCTGTATCAATTTTTCAGCGGGTTATGGATGAATTTATTCAAATAATAAACTAGAAAATACATATGCGTACCTCGATGATATAATTATTGGTGGAAAAGATGACCAAGAGCACGATAAAAATCTTAGCCGTTTCCTACATGCTGCTCAAATTGCGTACCTCGATGATATAATTATTGGTGGAAAAGATGACCAAGAGCACGATAAAAATCTTAGCCGTTTCCTACATGCTGCTCAAATTGCCAACGTAGAAATAAACAAAGAAAAGAGCAAATTTAAAAAAACTCATATCGAATTCTTAGGCCATATCATCGAAAATGGAACCTTAAAACCCGACCCTAAAAGATATGAAGCTCTTATAAATATGCCAGAACCAAAAACCTTAAAAGAATTAAACCGAATGATAGGTTTATTCGCCTACTACGCTAAATGGATACATAACTGTACCGAGTTTACTCTACCGCTTACTCAAGCAAGAGACAACTTTCCAACAAAGGGCTTGACCCCACAGGCAAAAGAAGCAATTAAAAAGCTCAAAATTAAACTTGCAGAAGCTTGTCTAGCCTCCCCGAATTTCAAAGTTCCACTAACTATTGAAACAGATGCCTCTGACACAGCACTGGGAGGAACGTTACTTCAACTAGGCAGACCCGTGGCCATCTTCTCAAGAACACTATCAAACGCTGAAAGAAAACACGCAATTGTCGAGAAAGAAGCAGCTGCTATTGTAGAATGCTGTAGAAGATGGAAACACCTAATTAATTCAGTGCCATACATCATTATAATTACAGACCAAAGATCCATTTCCCTTATTTTCAATAAACAGATTTCAACAAAAATTAAAAACGAAAAACTGACTCGATGGCGTTTAGAATTAGCAGATATTAATTATACAATTTCATATAGACCAGGAAATCAAAATATCGTAGCCGATGCCCTTTCTCGATGTTGCTCAATTCAAAACACCAATAAAACCTTTTACAATATTCACTCCCAACTATGTCATCCTGGAATTAAAAAAATGATACATTATTGCAAAACCCGAAATCTACCTTACTCTACCACTGAAATTAAACAACTAACAAGCCAATGTACCACCTGTAACGAACTTAAACCGCGCTTCTACAAACCTCCAGCTGGTCGTCTTATTCAGGCTACGAGACCTTGGGAACGCTTATCTATGGATTTTGGTGGACCTTTACAATCCACCTCAGCTAATAAATACATCCTCGTGATAGTAGACGAATACTCTCGCTACCCATTTGCATTCCCTTGTAATGATATAACAGCTAACACTGTGATACAACACCTTCTTAGTCTTTTTTCATTATTTGGTGCACCATCATCTATGCATGCAGATCGAGGAACACAGTTTCAAAGTATATCACTTAAGGTTTTCCTAGAAAGAAACGGTGTCATCTGAACTCGAACTACTCCATATCACCCACAAGGCAACGGTCAATGTGAAAGAATGAATGGAACAATACTTAAAGCTATTAGTGTGGCCCTAAAAACATTGAGTCTGGGAAAAGATAGATGGGAGGTAGCATTGCAAATGGCTCTATCCTCTATAAGAGGACTTCTGTGTACTGCTACGAACGAGACACCTCATCAGAGGATGATGAACTTTCAGCGTTCATCAATAATAGGTTCAGCTATACCAAACTTCTTAACAGAGCACGATTCGACAGTTTTATACAGACGTCAGATACGATTAAAGGGAGATCCACTTGTCGACAGAGTTCAACTATTAGAAACAATATCGCCTCATTTCGCACGCGTGAAACTTCAAAATGGAAAAATTGATACAGTTTCAACAAAAGATCTTGCTCCACTACAAGATAGAAATCCCTTAATAGAACCAGTCCAACAACACCCCGAATGCTCGAACAACAACGAAATTGTTATTAGTAACAACAACCACAATTCTGGAAATAGAAAACAAGTTGAATTAAATGATACCAACGAAGTAGTTTCGAACCTACTGCATCCGTTTGGGAATCCAATAAAAGATAGCTTCTCTTATGATCAATCAACTACAACAGTACCTAACCAACCATCTATTCAAAAGGTTATTACTCCTGACACACAACCTAATATTATCTCACGAACAGGACGTACTATTAAAAGGCCAAAGTATCTCGACGACTACTTTCTTTCTTAGAGTATTATTCAAGAGTAAGCCGGACTAAAACTTTCTCAAAACGGAGAAGACTGTTATATTCTTAAGAACTATTTGACGCCAATCACGTCATTATAGAATACGGTTGAATGAACTTAAGTTATTCTAATTATATTTAATTGATGTGTTATAAAATCTGTTTTGTAGATCTTGAATTGTGTTTGATTTAATATTTGATATAAACCGAAAATATTTAAGATAGACATTTATTACGGTTTCACAACAATGAGACTGGGCTCTCCACAAACCACTTAATGAAGAGAGTATTTTAGATCCAAAAAGCAAAGATGCTTATGAACTAGCTGCTTCTTCTGGTAAAGCTATCTATTCTGTGCTGTTCTGTGTGTCTGCAGATGGAAGATATCTTCCACCATTTGTTGTTTTTAAGGGAGAAGGCTATCTGTATTCTAAATGGATAGAAAATGGACCACCAGGATGTGCTTTTGGTGCAACAGCAAGTGGATGGATGTAAGACTTTCTATTTGAAAACTGGTATTTTACTTGAATTTTTTAATTTTCATTTTTTTTCTTCCTACTTTTTTTTTTCTTTTTTTATTGTTGCCTTTATTGTTTTTGAAGATGGTACAAATGATTCAATAGAAGTAAATACATTCTATGTTTAGGTTTGTCAAGCACTTGATACCATTCGTTGACCAAAATCAAAAACCAATACTCTTGCTTTATGATGGTCATGGCAGTCATTTAATGTATGGTACCATAAAAGCGGCTATGGACAACCATATCCAAATTGTTTGTCTTCCACCAAATTGCTCACACACATTACAACCATTAGATGTGGCTGTCTTCGGACAATTAAAGAATGAGTGGAGAAAAATTTTAAAGCGGTTTTCAAGAGAAACACAACACAAAAATATTGATAAGACAGCTTTTACAGGATTATTGAAACAACTGTGGGAGAGGCTCTCTCCAGCAAATGCTATAGCAGGATTTCGTAGTACAGGTATCTCACCATTAAGTAAAGAAAAGATGGAAAGAAGAATAACAGGTATTGACTTTCTTAATCAATCACCTGAACGTTATAGCCCTAAATCTCCAAGATTACAAACACCAAGATCGGCTATACGAGAAGCTTTAAGGTCAATCATATGTCCTAATGTATCTGCAGAAACAGCAGCAATAATAGAACAACAAAAACAAAAAAGGAAGAGAGTACAAGCAAAATGTGGAGAACTCCTTACAAATGAGAAAGTTTTTTTTTTCAAGTAACGACGGTTACTTGAAAAAAAAATGTACAAAAAAAACTATTACCTCTACTGAAGTAGTAAAAAAATACCCAAAAAGATCAGTGATCAAAATTATAGAGAAGTGCAGTGATCAAAATAATAGTTATTTTACCAGAAAATTGCAGTAATTAAAAAATTTTTTTTTAAAAAACACATTAAAACATTTCTGTTATTAATCACCTTTTTTTATTTTTATTTCTTTGAGTTTTTAATTTTTATTGTTGTGCTGTGTATGTATGCACTTTCTTTTTAAATAAAAATATCTTAAGACTACTTTTTAAATTAAAACCTTGTATATATGTACTATAATAAAGGTGCGGGCATATAGAATGTATGTCAGATTTTTCATAAGCAGCAATTTTTTTTTAACCCGGAACTGCCAACAATTTATGTATTTTTACATTTTTTTATTTTACCACATTACCCCACTTAGTTGGTTAATGTGGGTCTATATAGGCATCTTCAAATAAAGGCTCCCCAGACCTATTGATAGTATTTTAAGTAATAGTTATTTGTTAAATTTGTTTAGCAGGATGTCCAATCATGGTTTTAAGACATCTTTGTCTTGAAAGTTGTCAGAAAGCCGATACCTTAACATCGATTTTTTTTTAAGTCAAAGTCAGAAATAGGTAAAAATAGACTTAGATTACCCCACCCTACGCTACCCTGTTTAATCAGATTTTCCCCTTTTATTAATTGCTGTTTCTCCTCATATGTCTTAATTTTTTTTTCAGGTTCTTTTTCTAATCTTTTATTTATTAGTTGTTGTTATTAAAAAAGTTATGAATTATGTATTATATAATATAATAAATTTTTCTTAACTTTAAATGTCATAACTTTTTCAATTCTTATCAAAAAACTTGGTAATCAAAAGATAGGTCTTAGAAAGGAGCAGGGGTGCGGAGTCGTAAAAAAAAGTAACGACTCCGACTCCAGTTGTTGAAATTTTTTGAGTACAACTCCGACTCCGACTTCAGTTGTTGAGTACAACTCCGACTCTAACTCCGACTACAACTCCAAAGCAAAATTTTTGAAAAATTCCTTGAATTCTTAAAAAAATATTACGCTATAAAATAAAAAAAAATCTTTTGACAAATTTATGAAACGTTCTATGAGGTTTAGTATAAACATAAGGTTAATTGAATGTTTTGTACATGCACGTGCAATACCGAGAAGTTTTACTATTGATGTCGGAGTCGCGATTTTGTTTAGCGACTCCGACTCCGCTAAAAATATTGCAACTCCGACTCCACAGCCCTGGAAAGGAGAATAATTTTACATAAAAGACGTATACGGGGCTTTAAAAAAACATAAAAGACGTATGGGGTGCTTTAAAAAGGCGTCTATAACTCTTTGATATATTCAAAAGTTTTTTTTAAAGAAAATTTAAATTTTTTATTAAAAATTTAAATCTTCCTTTAATAATTTCTTTATTTTCTATATTTTATATATACTATTCAATTTTATTTTATCTTATGATATACATTTAAACATTAATGTTCAAATGGTTTTTATGATACGCCCACCTCCAACTACCCGGGTGTATAGCGGAACTAAAGTCAAAAATAGGTACCTATTTTTGGTGAGTTAGTTGAGTGTCTAGTCAAACTTTTTTTTTCATGACATTTGGGAGGTAGAAAAAAAAAGGTTTTTTACAAAAATCTGAATATATTTGAAAAAAATCTCAGCATTCCTTTAATACATACCTGATGCACAAACAACGAGGAAGTTTTAAACAAAATTTAATTCATTATAAAAAAATCTTTACGGAAACACAAAAACAATGATCCAAACATTTGTTTTTTTCTCTTTTGGTTTTTCATTTACAAAATATAAATTAAAAACCAAAAAAGTCATTTATTTGATAATACGAAGAAATTCGAAAATTATCTTATGTAATAAAAAGATTTGGTAAAAACCCAGGTTTTTACGCCTGATAATTCCGATCTTAAAAAGGCAGATTAAAAAAAATTGAAATAAACATTTTTTTATCAATTGTTATATTAACTAACTTGTTTCGGTTTAAAAAATATTAATTTTTTTTTGAAAAGTAAGTAAAATCATATTTTTCGCTCAGGAAGTTCAACCTGAGGCTCTAAACACAAAAAAGTAAAAAAAACTTCCGAATCGATTTTTTTTTACGTTTTTTACTGATGTGCATATGTATTTTTCTGAACTTTTTGAATGAATTAAAATTTTTGCTGTTGTTTTTTCATCTACTTGTTTATTAAAACTGATAAATGCATTGTAAATAGTTAAAGAAAGTTAAATTATATATTAAATTTAAATTATGTCTTGTCCGTGTGATTTGTTCGTCCCCACAACAAGGGTTCTTGAAGCTGGCTTAGGACCTCATTATGCCTTAATCCGGCCCTGTATATAATTAAAGATAAATGTTTCCTCATTTGTACATAATAGTTTCAGTTCCTTTTTTTTATACTCAATTCATGTAAATTAAAGTTTATGAAAAAGCTGTTCTTTGTTGCTTCTCTGTCGCAATTTTAAATAACGATGTTAGAAATTTACATGGTGAACAGGGATAATTATAATCTAAACATAACTATTTGTATCAACGTTTAAATCAAGCTACTAGGTGCAATTTTAAAGTAACTTTCTTTTGTAAATGAAGCAAAAGGTTTTGAACATAGCTCAAAATCATTTAACGCACTTACTTTTTTTTGTTATTAAAAATTATTTGTTTGGTTTATATTGTTATTTTTGTACCAGGTTTCCTTAGTTTGATTTATTGCAAAGGCGTGTTCAAGCTCATTTTATAATATTCTAAAATTGTCGATAACGTCTTGAAATACATTTCTAAATACAGAACCACAATCAACATGAGTTGTTTTCACATAAAACCATTAAATCATAGAAATCGGCTTTGCGTTTTATACATTTGCCTAAGTAGTTAATGTTACGTTTTGTAGCTTTTTGTAAATTTTGTTGTTCGATCTTTCTCCGTTGTTTCAACTCAACAAAGTCTTCTTCTTCAGCTCTTGAATTGTTTTGTTTTGAATTGTTGATGTGTATATCAAAGGCATTAACTTGTTTCAGAAATGATTTCATTGCAGATTCTAATAGAAAGTTTTCTTATAACTCTTATAAAAGTACTCGACATTGGTGTTGTGGGTGTTGACATTGGTGTTGTGGGTGTCAACATTGGTGTTGTAGGTGTTGACATTGGTGTTGTGGGTGTCGACATTGGTGTTGTGAGTGTTGATGAAATAAATGACAAACGCTGTTCAGTTGATAATATATTCGATGCTGATTGTGATGCTAGGACTCTCTAAATGTTTCAGTTATTTTTAGTTTTTATATACAGGTAGAGTTCCCTTAAAAACACATACCCCCTTAAACACTACACGTATAAACTTTCAGCTCTGGGTTTCACTAATAACAACGAAATTATTAAATAATGATTGAATCAGTATCTCTAAACATCCTAGATGATAAATTAATTAAAAATTTACCTCTTTTATAATTTTAAAATCCTCAAAAAGAGAATGCAAATCAAATTTTTAGTTTGAAAAATGGCTCAATTTATGCATTATAACCTGTTTAATAGCTTAATTTTAAGTTTTCAATTTACTTATTTCTAGATAATGTTACATTTGTTCTAATCCACCAATGTAATATTAACTAATTTACAAACTCTTAAAGATGTTCGTTTTGTATTTTTTTTTGCAGTGCTATGGATGTAGTTTTTAAGGGGTCACTAGCTTTAAAATAGGAAATCTAGCTTTTAATACAATAACAATGTATATTTTGAATAATAGGAAATATGAATAATATTAACAAAAGTATTTTCTTATTATTTTTCATATTTCCTATTATTCAAAATATACATTGTTAAAAATTATTCAACACAATAACAGCTTTATTAACAACAATAACTATTTTTTGAAAACATAAAATGACAAAAAAATATGAATAACATAAAATATTTTGAAAAAGAGACATGCAATAAACAAACATTTTATCTAAAGAAATATTTTTGAGTCATTAAGATTTAATTGAATCAGAACCAAAATAGATTTTTTTTTTTAAGAATCAGAGGATGATGCTGCAGATGCAGGGAGAATCATTGTCGGCTTTTTGTTATCAATGCGACGAGCCATTTTACTACATACAGATTTAAGAATGGAATGACATTGCAAACATTCTTTTAAAGATTTTGCAAGACATTCTTCTACACAAGAGCATTGCAGTTTGCAACGATAAAACAGTTCTTTTTCTTAAAGCTTATGTTTCTTTTTCTCCTCTGAATCATGATTTTTTTTCTATTTTTCTCCTTCAAGAAAAGCCACTTTTGAAAGCACATCTTGAGCCTCCATAGATCCATGCACATTAGTGACTCTTGTTGTTTTTGCTTGATTAACCTCCTTGGGTTTTACCCGGTTTACTGATAGTAAACCAGGCACTTCTGCTAAATTGAGGCTTTACTCATATGATTCCTTAATGAATGATTGTGACATTTTATACATTGATTTCCAATATTTGGCTGAACCATACCTTCCTTTTGTTTGGGCAACTTTGGATTGTGATCTTGGAGTTGTTACCAAGGGTCCGTCTTTTGAGGTCACACTTTTTGTTTTCTTAGGAATAGAAGGTTCGAGAGAAACATCATTACTTTTATCTATAAGAAGAGCTGCTTGTTCAAATTTATCCTGTTGCATATCATCAACATTAAGACCATTCTTTTTATACCAACTCTCTTAGCAGCTGCTACGATATTGGCAGCGGATGCCCAATTGCTCCACATTGTTCCAAGGATATTCATGAATCTTTCTCAATTTATTGTCTGGAAAGAGGAAAAGAGTACATCTCGGGTGTTATTATAATATCGATGGAGCTGTTGATTTGGTGCTTGGTCTAGTACCTGTGTGACTCCAGCAGTATCAGGCGGAGACACAAATAAATTGATTTGCTTTTCACGCAAAAAATTTAGAACTTTAAAGTCAAATCGCGACCAATGACCATCTAATAGAAGCACAACTGGTCGCTCTATACCTAGTTTGGTGAGATGTTTATCAAGTTTCTTATACTGCAGCCAATAATGAACAGTTATTATGTGAACCACTATATTTCGTGGAGATGATCAAATTTTTGATGTTGCTGA